CAATAACTAAAAGTGCACACAAAGTACACGTTGTTATTTTTTTTATGCAGTATATATACGCAGAACTTTTTTCTCTCTTCATTTATTTGTATCATGTAATAAGAACTGGGAAACTGAGACTGATTTGCAAAACCTGTTTGAAAGCGACTCCACCCAGTAGTAAATGTTGTTTCATTTCACAAAGACAGTTATTTCATGAGGCCATGTTTTGGTGAATGGTTGTAACCATATTTGGAAATCAATCTTAAAGGCTTGGGTGTGGGACAGAAAAGGGTGTGGTTTAAGGGGTGTGGCTTAGAGGGGTAGGATCCCACTTTCTCACAAGTGATTGGTGGGCTTTCCTCAAAAGGAAAATATATTGTGCCTCAACATGATGAGTGTGATTATGAATATGTTTGAGCAAGCACACAGCTCTCAGATTTCATCTTAAGAGCTGCTTTTACTTTCAACAGAATCATAACTCTTGCAAGACACATATGTCAAGAGTAAAATTAGGAAAAATGGGTTTTCATATTGAAATGAAAGACAAAAATGAAGTAAATGTAAACCTACACTGCAGTACAAGCTGTTGTTTATCTATGCATGAGGGAATTCTCATAGAATGGCTTGGCATATAGTATCATGAGACGAATCCAAATTAAAAAGTCTAAATAAAGCAAGAATATTTTGTATTTTAAGATACAAGCTTGCTTTGAATGTAAACTGAGATGAATTTAGAAAAACTGTCAAAAAAAGGCAACTTGTGGAAGCTGTGTAATAAATTACCGCCAAATGATCATGTAAAGTTTAACAGTGGAAGTTACAACCCAGTGTACAAGACAGTAAAAAGACACTCCAGTGAATACATGCATCAATAAATCACTATCTGGATTAATTTCAAGAATTGCGTTATTGACAATTTTGAGCCCCACCTAAATTACAGCTTTCATGTTCAGACAGCGAGGAACACAAACGCAATGACTAACCCATCAACAATTCACTTTTCTTTGTTGCACAGTTTGATGATGCCAGACAAAGCCTGAACTAAGCTGAGGGCACAATGTATGCTTTATAGTTCTGCATGACACTGTAGTACTCCAGTGAGATCTTGAGTAAACCTCAACCCCTTAAAAATGCATGGCGCAACTTTGAGGTTGCAAAGAAAACTCACCACCATATTTTACATTAACTTAACAGAAACAGGTTTTCACCATCTAACAGACTGACTGATGGCATGTTTTAATATACCTGTGATAGATATCTTCAATGGAATATTGTCTAAATCAGTACATAACTGTAAATCAATGAGCAGTTAAACTAGCATACATACAAGTGCTAAAATGATACACATATATTCATTGTAACACACAAATATTTATTTTTACATATGATAAAGTAAAGATCAATTCTGTATGCAATACTAACTTTGGTTTGACATATTATTTTCTAAAAATGGTGTTTGGACACACCATTAGGATTGACTTTGCTTTTTTTTTTACTTTGTTGATTCTGCAAAGCCTACCCAATTCACCTGTACCACATGTCTTTGGACTGCGTAGGAAACCATTGCACCCGGAGGAAACCCACGCGAATGCAGGGAGAACATGCACACTTCACACAAAAATGCCAACTGAACCAGCCGAGGCTCGAACCAGCGACTTTTTTGCTGTGAGCATTTACAAATAAATATTTTAATATCAACTGATTCATGTCATCTTGCTGTATATTGACCATTCAGTAAATAAGATAAAAAATAAACTAAAGGAAGGGAATTTTAAAAGCATTTTAATCATCAGCCTTTCCCCAGTAGATTAATAGTTCGAATAATTGGACTGAATGATCAGTGTTCTGGTGTCACAATGGAAATATTGCATACTGGTCAACATTTTGGAAACATCAAGGGCTTTATTTTGACAATCCATGCGCAAAGGGCAAAGCGCAGGGCGCAAAAGCATTAAGGGCCTGACAGAATCCACTTTTACTATTTTTAAGGACGGAAAAATCCACTTTATCCGGTCTAAAAGGGTGGAGCTTATTTTCTTAATAAATTATTTGTGTGTTTTGAGAAAAAAAACAATCAGAGTCGTATCTCCCATTCTCTTCAAGAGTCAGTTGCGTCGTGCCACAGCGCATTTGCTATTTACACAACAGACTTTTTAAGTGGAAAAACTGAGCATTTCACTAGCAAGAAAAAAGTTAAACAGAGCATCTACAGCTCAAGAATGAGAGATGAGCCTCCTCATTATTTACTTTAACTCTCGTGGACTTGTACGCACAGACATCCATTAGCCTATAAATAATTAGTTTGTTAAGCGCAAAGATTTGTTTCAAAACTATTTCTAAATTTAGTTCTAATTTCCAGCAAACGAAGAAATGAACAATAATAATGAAGTGTGGTCAATTATATGAGTTATATCTAAACACAAATGCTGTGCCCCATATGGTCTAAAACCTCACAAGTGGGCAAATCTATGCTTGTTTTTAATAAAACAAATATAATATGCATATAATAAATAATAATAATGCTAATAATAACAACATTATACAAAAGCTAATTGTTATGAATGAACTGAAAAAGCCCCCCGAGATGAAAAAGGCATGAAATTATGGTTTTTATATTTAAGTAGGCTAGAAAATAATGTTTTGTAATATTTTAATCCTTTATATTTATATCCTATATATATCCTTATTATATCATATATCCTTAATATTTTAATTCTTTTCAATTTGTAAAGATATTTGCGTATTGCTGTACATCCTGTGTGTATTAAGCAGTGTGTAAGCGAGGCGCACAACTAACGCACTCTGCGCTGGACCGGCTTTGTTCTTTGTTCTTTGTTTCAGCTTTGTTCGAACAGTCTATTGTAGTTCCTCAAAATAGCAACGCGCCAGCAATGTGCCTCAACACGCCTCCTTTTTTAGACCAAAACGTCTATTGGCACACATACTGTATGAGCGCTAATGCATTTGCTATTTAAACAGCGTGGTGCAAAACGTCAAAATGACTGTTGCACTGAGCTAAAACTACAATTGTGTCGCGCCTTGCGCCGGGTGTATGATAGGGCCCCAAGAGTTTATTTATTTATTTAAGTGCCTTGGTCCCCAATACTGAATTTACTAGATCAAAATTACAATACAACCTTTATACTTCCAAAAACATTATATGTAAATATAGTTCAAAATATAATTTATTCTTATAATGGCAATGCTAAATTTTTAGCATTGTAGTTTTAAATGTCATGATACTGTAAAAGTCATTTAAATATGGTGGTCTGATGCTCAAAAATCCCTTTTTATTGTATGAGTTGTGCTACTTCAAACTGTATTTTTATGTAAACGCTCACTAAAAATGTTTGACTGTCAGGAACATTAAAAATCGACAGTAAAAGTCATTAAAAATGTTATAAAACATTTCAGTTCTAATAACTACTGTTTGTGAACAATCTATTCATAGATATTTTAACTGTGCAGCAAACCAACAGTGCCTATTTTTATTTTATATTTGATATAATAATAGCCTAATAACAGATATAATAAAAACCTGGATGAACAGAAGAGACAAAATGTCCTATTGTCTCCAAAACTTTAACAGATGGTTCTGCAAGGGAAATGTTTACAACCATGAAAGCATTTCAAATATTTAATGAGTTTGATCATTAGCAAAGCAAACACGCAAGGTAAATTTCAAACCAGTTTCACGTGATCAACCTGCACATGTTACACTTACCTGTTTTTTTAATCACATATATGGTTTCTGGGTCTTCAAGACCTCTTTTATCTCACAAGCTAATCTACATTTTGTAACTTGTACTACTCGATTGGTTGCATTGCATGAATTAAGGGGAAATACTTGGGTGGAACTCATCAACCCCAACATCTGATAGTGTCACTGTTTTGACCAACGGATTAACAATGGGCTAAACCCGTTTAAGAAAAAAAAAACTGCACAGATGGCCAAAATACCACATAAGCAATGTTTGTTAAAAGTGCGACCCCTCCTAAATTTTTACAGAGAAATATGCCTTATTTTCCTTTTGCTTCCCTGCTAATATGCTAATGCTCTAAAGTAAACAAACCAGACAGAATCTCTTCCTGCTGTACTTGGTCTGATGAATATTTACAAGGCTGAAAGCAGACTCAGATCTGTCCACTTTAGAAGCAAGACTCCAGTTCGAAATCATTTAAACATGATACGGGTGATAGTGACATGCTAACAAAAGCAGCACGCGTTGCTAAATAATGCCACCTAAGGACAGGTACAAAAATAACCACAGTGCTCTTGCAGCCATTGCACACTGCTGTGAGCTCTGACACTCACCTCATAAAATTCAAATCTCACACGATAATGAAAACTATGCTGTACACATTCACGTTTGCACAGTGTGTTTTAATAAGATAATAAAAATCTACTTTGCATGCAACTGCGTCAGCCCTCTGGGAACCACAGAACAAGGTGGTGAAGCAGTGTCCGTGACAGTGCCATTGAAGTGAGAGAACAGAAGCTTGATTGTTTGACTGGAAAGAGAAGCCTGTGGGTCACTATGGCTTCCAGGATGAGCGCCAAGTCTCAACATTCAAGCCCTTCATCAAATATTCCCCTATTTAATACTCCTGCATTGCACTTAAAGCAAACTGAGGGCCCCATACCTGCGTGAATCATAAAATATTCATGGAGTTGTATGGTTTGCATTTGGAGAATGCCATCTGGTTATGTAAATAAGAGGGGCTTTAAATTACAGAGAAATTGTATATTCTGAGTCGTAGTACATACAAGGGTGTGTGGAGTTTAACCTTGTTTTTCTACTCTGTTTCTCTCTTAATAGCTCTGTTTTATTACGTGAGTATGCATGTGCATCTAAGGCAGGGTGTGGCCTGGCCTCCAATGCTGAACATACTCCCATACCAGCCCAGCAAGATGGGCGTGTGTATCACTTGGACAGGGAAAAAGGCAGGACAGAAGCCTGAGGCAGAAAGGGGATTGGCCAGGTGAGCCCCTCCCATGAGGTAAGAGGTATAAAAGCGACTGCACTGCTTGAAGAGGGCACTCAGAGGGATTTTACTTTCCTCTTAGTGAGCTCTCCTGCTCCAGATCTCTGTCTCATCCTGCTCTTTTTCTGATCCTCACCCCCTCGTAGACGACAGAAGCCATGTCTACTTCCTTCAAAACCTTCACCAGTAGTGGAAGCATGAGCGGCGGCATGGGCGGTGGCATGGGTGGCGGAATTAGGAAGAATTTTTCTAGCATGTCAACCAGCGCAGTGCCAATGGGCAGCAGGAGCTCAGTGTCCTTCCGTCGCTCTGGTGGTGGTGGCGGCGGCGGCGGTTTTGGAGCAGGATCTGGAGGAAGCTTCAGCTACAGCATGGGTGGCGGTGGCGGTGGCGGTGGCAGTGGCTTTGGAGGAGGATTCGGCAGTGGTGGAGGATTCGGCAGTGGTGGAGGATTCGGCGGTGGAGCAGGATTTGGTGGTGGATCAGCGTACGGGGGTGGAGCAGGATTTGGTGGAGGGTTTGGACCAGGCGGTGTGGTACCCATCACAGCTGTCACAGTCAACCAGAACCTTCTAGCCCCACTGAACCTAGAGATCGACCCCAACATCCAAGTTGTCCGCACCCAGGAGAAAGAGCAGATCAAGACCCTCAACAACCGCTTTGCTTCCTTCATTGACAAGGTTAGTTTTTCTTTTCAAACATCTACAGCTCCACAATACAATTGTGACTTTTCCGGTCACTAGCGCACACAGAAATCTCACATTGCAGTATACGATCGGCAGGCATTGCGTATGCCATCATTTCCTTTATTAACACTAAACATCAGTCAAGCAGTCTACATCTTAGCGTGGGCTCATGTTGTTTTCTTAGTATGCAATTGTTCTAAGGCAGCGAGATTGAGTTTGGAAACCCAAGCCAGGTAAGATCCAATGACTGGACCATTCCAAATAAGGGCATGGATCAAGTTTGCCAACTATCCCTATGGTAGCAGTGAAGTATGGTGTGTGCATGTGTGTGTGAGAGAGAGCATATTCTTAATAATTTACTCAATGCAATAGCCCTAGATGTTTGATTGACTTCATGTATGTCCTAAAAATCACTTCAGTAATTATCTACACAAAGCTAGTTTCCTGTTTGTATTCTTTGACATCTTTGGGGAATTCTCAATGTAACCACACCTAGTAAATTTTGCCCCCCCACCCCCTTAGATTTATATCCAGTTCTGTGATTCTGACAAGAGATATGATCAGCAATGATACAGCTCATATATCCCCACTGATGTCATTGATGCTTTGTTTTTTCAATGTGAGTCCTGCAAGTTCAAAGTCATTTTGTGGTTGTGCACAAAATAACTTGCATGCTGTTCATCTGCAAGAGGGCGGGTACAGTTAGCACCCTGAGGGTAAGGTGTGCCATTTCATCTCTGTTTAGGCCTGCCACTTGGCACAGTTCTCTTAGGAGCCTCGCCTTTATGCCAGGAGGTAAACATTGTTTTGGGAGCATAAATTGAAGCTTGAAGAGTCTGAACATGTTGTGTGGTGTCATTTGAGGTTTGCGTTTCATTAACAGGGAGTGCATATATTAAAAGGACAGTTATTCCATCACAGAAGTACTAGCCAACCAGGCATGACACATAAGCTAATCAATTTTATTGAGACATCCATCATAGGTGTGTCATCTTGAGAGGTGTGATTGATAATTACTGTGGAAGATACATCTTGTTGATTATCAAAGATCCCTCATACCTTATTTTGCTAACTCAACAATTTATTCAAATCCTCCATCTCTTTATCTCCAACACAGGTGCGCTTCCTGGAACAGCAGAACAAAGTACTCGAGACAAAATGGAGTTTATTGCAAGAACAGACCACTACCCGATCCAACATCGATGCCATGTTCGAGGCCTACATCGCCAACCTGCGCAGACAGCTTGACGGACTTGGCAATGAGAAGATGAAGCTAGAAGGAGAGCTGAAGAACATGCAGAACTTGGTGGAGGACTTCAAGAACAAGTAAGCAGCCGTGCTAAAACATGTTTAGAGGCTATGAGCTACATTATGTGTTGGTGGTATAATTTGACAAGCATTTTGCTAAAATGGAAAACTTTTCTTTGCAGATATGAAGATGAAATCAACAAGCGTGCCGCAGTGGAAAATGAATTTGTCCTGCTGAAGAAGGTAAAACCTTCATCTGCTGTGTTGATTTTTATTTAAAATAGTTATTACTTTCACTTTAGTCAAATGAGTCCGTTACTGAGGTATGTGCATGCCTTCATAGGATGTCGATGCTGCCTACATGAACAAGGTTGAGCTTGAGGCCAAGGTTGACTCCCTTCAAGATGAAATCAACTTCCTTAGGGCCATCTTTGAGGAGGTGAGAGTTTGATGGCGCTTTTTTACCACTGACATGCAATTTCTTTTTTTGTCAGCTGTCTCTCAATGCCATATTCCTTTACCTTGCCATTTTAGGAGCTGCGTGAACTCCAGTCACAGATCAAAGACACATCAGTCGTTGTGGAAATGGACAACAGCCGCAACCTGGACATGGATGCTATTGTTGCTGAAGTCCGCGCTCAGTATGAAGACATCGCCAACCGCAGCCGTGCTGAGGCCGAGTCCTGGTACAAACAGAAGGTGAGCAAGACTTTCAAACACCAAACCAACATTGCTTTAAATGTACTTAACTGACAGGTCTTAATGACACTGTCTCTCTTTTCAACTAGTTTGAGGAGATGCAGTCCTCTGCTGGCAAATACGGAGATGACCTTCGTAACACCAAGGCTGAGATTGCTGATCTCAACCGCATGATCAGCAGACTTCAAAATGAAATCGAAGCTGTCAAGGGACAAGTAAGTAGCTTGTTATTCTGTAGATCCAGGTTTCAGTCTATATTGCAAACCAACTCCTTAGTATGTACTAAATGTACTTTCAATGAAAAGTTAAGGACAGGAATAAAGTAAAAATGTCTCTGAAAACTGAAGTTGGATTGTCCTCTTTGAATTGCTCAGCGTGCCAACCTGGAAGCTCAGATCGCAGAGGCTGAAGAGCGCGGAGAGCTGGCAGTGAAGGATGCCAAGCTCCGCATTAAGGATCTGGAGGACGCCCTGCAAAGAGCAAAGCAGGATATGGCGCGCCAGGTGCGTGAGTACCAGGAGCTCATGAACGTCAAACTGGCCTTGGACATTGAAATCGCCACCTACAGGAAGCTTCTGGAAGGAGAGGAATCCAGGTCAGTCACCTTGCTTCTCAAATTAAGCTATGAATATAATGTCTTGAAATCTGTTCCCTATTGACATTCATTTATATTTTACTTCATCAGAATTGCATCTGGTGGCAATACTGCAACTATCCACATCCAGGAATCAAGCAGCAGCAGTAAGTTTCTAAAAGCTATATACAAGGCTTTATCATCAATGGTGTTTTTTTTGTGTAACTGCATTTGAGTTTTATAAGACTAATGTGTTTTTCTGTTGTTTTACAGGCGGTGGCGGCGGCGGTGGATTTGGATACGGTGGTGGCAGTGGATACGGTGGTGGCAGTGGATTCGGTGGTGGCAGTGGATACGGTGGTGGCAGTGGTTTCGGAGGTGGCAGTGGATTTGGATATGGTGGTGGCTCAGGGATGTCGATTGGTGGCGGCTCTGGCATGAGCATGAGTGGCGGCGGTGGCGGTCAAATCTCAATGTCCCGTTCTTCTATTGTGTCTAGTCAGAAGCGCCGCTTCTAAACCAAACACGTCCACCCAGATCCCTCCTTCCAAAATATCAGCTACCACCTGGGCAACTCTTTTTCACTTTTTCACTCCACATTTCAATGTTTTCGTTTCTTTTTAAAGTGTTTAACGCCCCCCCCAAAATGCCATGACCTAAAAAGACAAAGTGTTAAAAACCTGCAGAATGGCTTTTTACATTCACTGTGCTGTCTTTGATTCTTGTATCTTCTTGGCATTGCTTCTCCAACAGAATAAAACTGTCCTTTAGGGGATGCTAAATGGGAAAAGAGCTAATGAGACAGACAAAGCATGGAGCTCAAGTATTATTTCAAAGTGAATAGCTTTTGTTGCTCTGTGTCACAACATGCAAGTATTAAAGTGTACACAGAATTGTGTTTAAATTAATTCTGCAGCAGTACAACGGCAACTTTTAATGTTTACTCATAGAGCAACAAAAGTTACCTTTTGAGATTATACTGTCATCAGAAAGGAGTAAATGTCTGGCAAATGTCAGTTACACCAATTTTTACTCTACCTGATTTTGGATGGGCTGATGAGCTGTTCTGTACAACATGGAAACATCAATAAATCAGGGTTATATACAATCTTTTGTCTTAAGTGGTTCTTTGATTATGCCTTTCTCTTTTTTTACTCCGCATAGGAATGCACAAATGCAGCTAAAATGCAGCTTGATATCAAATATATACTTTCCAATAAAAAGCAATTTATGGTTAATTATTTTCAAGAAAAGTTCAAATCTAATGGCCCTAATAATAATAAAAAAACCTTTTGAATATTAAAAACCCTTAATGATTTTATTAAAACATATATGTCAAACCACTTATAGCCTTTCTTTTAATATCCCTTTTATTCCCTTTGTTGTAATGACAGGAAAGTTGTATCACTCTTAACATTATGACCCATATCTTGAATTACTACTTGCACACATTCTATTAATTTTTAAAAAAAAGCATTCCTTGAAGCAAGAAATGGTTTTTGCAATGGACAAAGTTGTTAGACCAACATTAATAAAAATATATACAAATTAGCATTTAATAATAAGAGTTGGAAAAAAAAGGGAGGTAATTTAAGACTGTGGGGAACAAATATAGAGGTTATGTCATTTTTTTTGTTTATGTTTACCACCCTTCTTAATACGATTATGTTGTTAGGACTTAAAAAATGGTGCACAGCACACGTACACACACCTTCTCGTCTCAAAATTAGTAAGGTCAACATGAAAAAAATGAGGGTAACAAATAGTATCAAGGGTTCAGAGAGTTAAACATCGCTCTTAAATGTACACTGCATGTTAAACATTTGTTAGACGATACCGACCAGCGACCACTATTCACACGCGTTCCCATAGGACCTAAAAACCGCACCTAACCAGGCAGTGCCAAAATATCATGTTACAACCGGCAGACTGAGCTCCCATTCAATGAGGGTTAACCTGGCAGGTCAGTCAGTATTACTCAAACTTCTCGAAGGACAATTCTGTTGTTGTTTAAGTGGATAAATCTGATAATTGCCCTGTGAGAGATATCAACCTGTTCATTTATCAGAGTGTGCTGCAGGTCAGATTTATGAAACGGCCTAGCTGTGCATTACCTGATACTTTTGGTACATCTTCATCAAGCTGATCCAAAATGAAATTCTTTAATGGTGCAGAGACACGTCAAAGAAGATACACAATTTCATTTGCAGTTTTTCTCAGTTGCTTTGGTGCATTTCTCACTACACTATTTACATTTGCACAACAGGTAATGCATTTCTCAAAACAATTAGTCATTTGTGCACATCCTAGTAGCAGTTTCTCATTCCTTTTAACAAACTGTGAATGCTTTTGGACATGCATCAATTGCTTTCATCCAACTCTCTGCTGTTTAGAACATTATCATCTGCTTATGTCATGTCAGTCAAAATTAACTAAACTTGTAAATGCTGAATAGTCATTCTATATAAAACGAATAATCCTCATTTCATTACTTGAGTCATTACATACAAAAAATGTTGAACTAGTTGTCAAAATCTGTCAAGCAAATTTTTTAAACAAATTTAAATCTTTATTTTCCTGAAAATTTCTTTAAAATTGAACAATTTCATGAATGGTTTACAGACCTGTGTATGTTGTAGGCTCAGTTCCAATATGTACTGCAATATTGTGTACAGTTGTGCACAGCTCTACCTAAAGGGAGTTTATGTTTGTTGTAAATAAGGGTGTGTTTATTCTTTTGCACAATGCTGGGAATAAATTAGGATTGCAAAGAGCAAATGCAGTAAAAATGTGAAACATACATACCAGAGGTGTGGACTCGAGTCATGTGACTTGGACTCGAGTCAGACTCGAGTCATGAATTTGATGACTTTAGACTCGACTTGACAAAATATAAAAAGACTTGCAACTCGACTTGGACTTGAACATAAATGACTTGGACTTTGACTAGGACTTGCCCCTATTGACTTGTAAAGACTTGCTGCTTCCCATGAAAAGCCCAACGATAAAAAAGTATGTTGACATGGACCGCTCTCTCTCTCTCCCTGTTTATGTGTGCGTGTGTGTGTGACAGCATGCGCGCGCGTGTGTGTGAGCATGCGCGCTTTCGGCATGACGTCCAATCGAAGCACGGTAGATTGTTTTGATTCGACAGTATCCAACGTGACTACTATGAGGCGCCGGAGTGGACAAAAGTCAAGCAAACGCAGAGAGAATTTGAATTTGAACTTGAGATGAGCCAATACTCGCGTGCCAATACTCGCCCTCTCTCTCTCTCTCTCTCACATACAACATACACCTCTCTCTCTCTCTCTCTCTCTCTCTCTCTCTCGTGCAATCAGTCTCTTTGCGTTCGCTTGACTTTTGTTTACGATGGCGTCTCATACCTTTAATGCATTTGCTCTCACGGGATCCTCCTTTTAAACTGACCCTTCGCTAAGCCACGCCCAAAAACCGCCACCCACCAATCGCAGCTTACCAATCGTAGCTACGGGCAGAGGCTCTGTCAAGCTTTCGAGCGAGGGAAACAAGCCAAATCGTTGCGCAATTGGATTGTGAAAATCTGACACCCGCTATCCTAAAAGTTTGGACTGGGTGGTGGGATTTTTCCCTTTTCAAAACCAAAGCCCAAGAGGAGAAATGCCAGCGTGGATCAAGCTGTGTGAGGGGCGGTAAAGGAGTTAAGCTAAGTTGGTTTTGTTTTCGATATTCACATTCAATGATAGGTGGCAATAACTCACACTCCTCTTATCCTAAACAGATCTAAACTGTTTCTTAAAAAAAAAAAAAAAAAAAAAAAAAAAAAAAAAAAAAAAAAACAAAGCAGGTTATGCTTCCCAGCGGTCTTTTTCTTTTTTTCCACTCGATATTATGAGCCAGGGCTCGACAATAAGGACTGCCCGATGGCCCGGGGCCAGCGTGCGAGACACTCGGGCCAGTGTACAAAATGTTACTGGCTCGATCGGGCCAGCTGCTGCCTTTTTGCCTGCCAGATCGAGCCAGAGCTGCGTGCTGCGACTGTCTGTCAATTGTGTGCAAATACAATCTTACGGTGCTTTCACACGTAGACGTTTGTTTCGGAATCTGTCTCGTTTCACCCGTTAGCACGTTTTTTTTAGCATATATCCAGCAGTTGCGCTCGCATCTGCGCCAAATCAATCAGTCCAAGATCGCCTGAATGAGACGCGGTCTCTGTCCTATTGAGCGTATCGATTGTAGCGAGAAAACAAAACAATGCAACGAACTAACGACCCAGGCTATATCACAGTGTATCATGATCGTGTAATAGCCATATATACGGCTATATGAAGAGGGAATGATGAGCAGGGCGAGATGTCATTCTTACCGGTAAATGCGAAAGTGAAAGCATGCTGAAATATTACCGAGAGCTGTTTATCCAGCCTGATCTCGGTTTATCCGTCAGGAAAATTGACCGAAATTACTATCTGTTAATTTTTCCATATTTTAATCGTATAATATGTTGTGTTAGGCCTGTTGTTTTGTTCATTTCCGCACTGACAGCTCGAAAGAAAGATTTACATTGATCTGATGCAGTCTCGGTTCATCTGCTATGTCTCTCTATAATTTAAGCCTAAAATACAGAATTATAGTCAACGTTTCTTTAATAGATTGATTAATTCAATTGATCGATTTCTACAAAACCTGACAATTGAAATGAGGCTCTGTATATATGAGAAAGTCTGACCTCGATTTGTATTTGGTGACGATGTCTGTGGGTTGTTAAAATTAAAGTGCACATTTTCACTTATAAAATATTCTATACACAATACACAAAAGTTTGGGGTCAGTGTGATTAAATATGTTAAAACAAGCTTCTTCTGCTCACCAGGGCTGCAATTATTTCATCATAAATACAAATTGTGAAATGTTGCACTATAAAATAACTGTTCAAAAGTAGTTTATCATTTAATTTATTCATTTATTCCAGTGATTTTAAAGATGAGATTTCAGCTTCATTACTCCAGTCACATGATCCTTCAGAAATCACTAATATTAATTATTATTATATTTATTAATGGTAATAGTTATAAAATCAATAATGTCTGGAGTAATTATTTTATTTGAAACTAAATACAATAACAAAGCAGTTATTTAAAATTTTAATAAATATTTAACAATTACACCTTTTTTACATTTATAAATATAGCCTTGATGAACTGAATAGTTTTCCTTAAACATTTTAAAAATTACCGTAAATATATATACAGATTTATTAACCCCCTTTTGTTTTTTTTGTTTTTTCTTTTTAAAATATTTCCTAAATGATGTTTAATAAAGCAAAGAAATGTTGATATTTTGTCTGATAATATTTTTTCCTCTGAACAAAATCTTATTTGTTTTATTTTGGCTGGAATAAAAACATTTTTTTAACCATTTTAAGGTAAAATTTATTAGCCTCCTAAGCTAATTGTTTTTCAGACTGTCTACAGAACAAACCATCATTATACAATAACTAGCCTAATTACCCTAACCTGCCTAGTTAACCTAATTACCCAAGTTAAGCCTGTAAATGTCACTTTAAGCTGTATAGAAGTGTCTTGAAGAATATCTAGTAAAATATTATTTACTGTCATCATGACAAAGATAAAATAAATCAGTTATTAGAGATGAGTTATTAAAACTATTATGTTTAGAAATGTGCTGAGAAAACCTGTTCTCTGTTAAATAGAAATTGGGGAAAAAATAAACAGGGGTGCTAATAATTTATGGGGCCTAATAATTCTGAAATCAACTGTGTGTGTGTGTGTGTGTGTGTGTGTGTGTATACACACACACACACGCACATTCAAATAGCGATTAACTTCTTTTTTTTTTTGGTGGGGCCAGTGAAAATTTGGGCTGGGCAAGTAAAAATCAGAACCACTGGCCCGATCGGGCCAGTAGAAAAAATCCTTAGCGTTGAACCCTGTGAGCACTGCTTAGTTTAAAACCTCGCTATTGTAACGCATATAAATACATACACTAATATTTGCTGGTAGGAAAAATCTATTTGTTCACTTCTGTTATTTATACTTTAATGTGCATTTCAATTTTTTTTTTCCACTTAACTGCAAATTTGAATAAAAACTGGATAAAGAGCACACAAAC